TGGGGAGGTGGACAGAAGGTGCTGGGATGGGGACGGTGCCTGGTCCCCTACTGCAGGGAGGGAGAGGGCAGGGGGACAAGGAGGTGGCACTTGGGGAAGAGCTGGGGACAAGGAGGTGACATTTGGGGCCACGGGAGAAGGGACGTGGGGACGCAGCAGCCGGTGACGCCGAGTATGTAGGACACAGGCTGGTGGCACTGCTGGGAGTGTTTTTGGGGCAGAAAAGCTCTGTCTGAAGCTGCGTGTTTTTTGTTACTCACAGGAATTGTTAGCAGGTTAAATAAAACCAAGTCGTTGACGGCATCATTAGTTGTAGGGTCTTGTTTTCCTGCTGGGCTCAGAAATCGCCCCAGAAAGAGGTTTGATCGTGTCCTGAAGGTGTGAGAGTGGCCATTTAATCCTCTATGTTACACTAAATTAGGTTTGGGTTTTTTTTTTAGCAAAAATCCCTTTTTTTGGTGTGATTTGATGGTTTTTAATCTGGCAGGCCGAGCCGGGGAGATGCTCTGCACGGCGGTGGTGATGGCGGGGAGCCTGGCACTGACGACAGCAGTGGTGGCTCATGCCTATTACCTGAAGCACCAGTTCTATCCCACCGTGGTTTATCTCACCAAATCCAGCCCCAGCATGGCTGTAAGTACCCAGCTAATTAATTAGCGGCGGGTAATTAATCCCCACAGCTGGGATGGGGAACAGGCCTGCCATCTCGCACGGTGGCTTCGTGGTGCGCCGGCGGGGGGCGGTGTGGGAGCTCTCATCATGGCTCACTTCTGCTTTTGGTGACTGAAATGGGTCGTTTTCCGTTTAACGGCACTCACTGAAAACGCCGGACACCCCCTGGGGAGAGTGAGCACCTGCGCCGAGAGCTGCCGCAGCGCCGATGGGCGCATGGGGAGGGTGGGAAGACGTCGCTGCCTCTTCCTCCTGCCGGCGCGGGAGCTCTTGGGCAGCCCCAAAACGGGGTTGGGGCCGAGCCGGTACCCGATCACCATCTCCTCCATGCCCTGGGACCCAAATTCGGGGCGTCAAACTCTCCCCTGCATCCAGTTGCCACTGAAACGAGTTTTGGCTGCGCCACGTGTTCTTCCCCATCGCTTCCTTCCCCATCACCTCCTTCCCCTCCCCATTTTTCCCCCCGCAGGTTCTCTACATCCAGGCCTTCGTGTTGGTTTTTCTCCTGGGTAAATTTATGGGCAAGGTGTTTTTCGGGCAGCTGCGGGCAGCGGAGATGGAGGTGAGCGATGGCGAGGAACGGTTTAAATTCTGAGCCGGGGACGGGCGGATCCGTTGCCGGTGCTGGAGGCCACGTTGGTGCTGTTGATGGGGTTAAAGCCCACAGGGGTGTGTGGATACTGAGAGCTTTTGGGGGGATTTTGAACCCCAAGAGGCCTTTGATGCCATTTTGGGAGGGATTTTGGACCCTCAGGGGCCTTTGGCTTTGTTTGAGGGGGGATTTTGAACCCTGACAGTCCTTTGGCTCCATTTTGGGGGGGATTTTGAATGCTGAGAGTCCTTTGGCTTCGCTTGGGGGGAGGATTTTGAACCACAAGAGTCCTTTGGCTCCGTTTTGGCAGGGATTTTGAACCTCGGGCACCATTATGGGTTCAAAAACGGGGAGCGAAGGCTGGGGGTAAGCCCACCGCACCCCCCACCGCCTCCCCCTCTCCCGCAGCACCTACTCGAGCGGTCGTGGTACGCCGTGACGGAGACGTGCCTGGCCTTCACCGTTTTCAGGGATGACTTCAGCCCTCGCTTTGTCGCCCTCTTCACCCTCCTCCTCTTCCTCAAGTGTTTCCACTGGTTGGCCGAAGATCGGGTGGACTTTGTGAGTGCCGAGTGGCAAGAAATCGGGTGTAAAAAAGCCTTTTTGGGAAAACCAACCCTTTCTCCACCTCTTTTACAGATGGAAAGGAGCCCCAATATCTCCTGGCTCTTCCACTTCCGTATTGTCTGTGAGTATCTTGCTTTTTTCCATGCTGGGCCGGATCCTGCCCGGCCACGGGCGCTTTGCCATTTGGCGCATTGCCGGTATCTGGTCAGGAAAGATAATTTTGGCACCGCGTTTGCATACAACTGGGGAAGAACCCGGTGCAGCAGAGCGTGCGACCATCGGCGCTCGATAAACCTTATCAGGGCAGTCTCATTAACAAGGGTGTGTTAATGGGGCTGCAGAGGGAGCAGGATGGGGTTGCTGGGGGTTTAATAAGCTCCGGCTTTGCCGGGTGGGAAAAATACGAGGCCGGATCCACGGTGAAATATTTTTCTGATTCTAGAGAAGCACATTTAGGGACACAAAAATCATCTTTTGAAGGAATTGAGGGGTTTTTTTGGTGAGACATGAGGACACAAGATGTGGCTTGAAGAAGAGGGGGCTTCAAAAGAGACAACCTCATTACCAGGATGTGTTAATTCGGCCCTTCGTTAGTGCAGAGCCGTTTAGCCCTCCCTGGGACCGATGCTCCTCGAGGGTCCCCCTCTTGTGGTGGGATATGTTTTGGGGTGTGATCCTTGGAGCTTTAGTTTTTGGGGGTCTCCCCCCACCTCAACATTCATTATCTCTTTCCCTCATTATCCCCTCATCCCGATTCCTTTCCCCCACCACAGCCCTGATGTTCCTCCTGGGAATCCTGGATTTTCTCTTCGTTAACCACGCGTACCACAGCATCCTCACACGAGGAGCCTCCGTCCAGCTCGTCTTCGGCTTTGAGGTAGGAGATGGCTTCTCCTTGGGGACGGACAAACCTCCACGTCCATCCCCGGGGACAGACAAAACAGCTCTTTGGCCTGGACCTCACAGCCTGCCGCGCTCTTCCTCCCCGCAGTACGCCATCCTCATGACCATGGTTCTCACCATTTTCATCAAGTACGTCCTGCACTCCATCGACCTGCAGAACGAGAACCCTTGGGACAGCAAAGCCGTCTACATGCTGTACACGGAGCTCTTCACGGGTACGTTGTCCTCTTTCCCCTTTTTTATTCTCGTCCCACCCAATTTTGGGGTTGGGGGTGGGGCTTCACAGCTGGGTGTGGCCCGATAAAGCTTGATACATCGTTACAAAGCCCGATTAGCCATGGAGCAATGAAGGTACGAAGTCTGAGTAGTGCTCAGCAGCACCCAAAGGTCTGATCCATCTTAGTTAAAGATCTGGGTGACAGGGCAGAGTGTCCCATCAGCTGCTTTGCCAGTGACACCAAACCAGGAGGGGTTGGCTGATGCGCCACAGGGTCACGCCACCATCCTGAGGAACCTTTTCCAGCTGGAAAAACGGTCCAGGAAGAACCTCACAAGGTTCAACAGAAGAGTCGGGCCCAGTCCAGCAACCCCCAACACGAGTATATGCTGGGCAATGGTTCAACTGGGGCTTCTGGTGGACACCAGGTTGAGCACAAGCCAACAACGAAGACCAGCGGTGCCCCGGGAGGGTTGCCAGCCAGTTGAGGGAGTGATCGGGGTGGTGAGGCCACATCTGGAGACCTGAGGTCTCTTCTGGGCTCCCCAGTCCAAGAGGGACTGGGACAGGCTGGAGAATGTCCCAACGAGGGGCCGCCGAGCTGACAAAGGGACTGGAGAGGCTGAGAGAGCTGGGATTGGTTGCTCAGAGAGGCGGTGGCACCTCCGTCCTTGGAGATACTCAAAAGCCGTTGGGTCACGGTCTTGGACAAGCAGCTCCTGGTGACCTACGTGAGCGGATGGTTGGACCAGATGACCTCGGAGGTCCCGTCCCACCTCAACCAACCCTCGGTTGTCCAAGAATAAGACCCCGATGTTCTTCTTTCCCCCAGGCTTCATCAAAGTCCTCCTCTACATGGCCTTCATGACCATCATGATCAAAGTCCACACCTTCCCGCTCTTCGCCATCCGCCCCATGTACCTGGCAATGAGGTGAGGTGACTTTTGAGGCGGCCTCCGGCTCCGGCGCGGCTGCTGACGTGCCGTCGGCTTGATCCCACCACTTCCTTATCTTCTTCCAGGCAGTTTAAGAAAGCAGTGACGGACGCCATCATGTCCCGCCGGGCCATCCGCAACATGAACACGCTGTGAGTAAGATGGGAGAACGCCGCTTCCGTCCCTTCCAGGGTGCTTTGAGTTCCGTCGACATCTCCTCCGGGGTTGCTTTTGTGGTGGGATCCACCCAAAAAAACCCAAAATTTGAGGAAAATGGCTCGTTTGCCGCACGGGAAAGAGGTCGGAAGGACCCTGTAGGGTGACGGGGTCGTGGATAACTCAAGCTCCTCTTGCCAAAAAGCCTAATTTAACCAAAAATTTGGTGGATAACAGTGAGGAGGAAAGGTCGGCTGGCGGTGGGGAGGACCAAGAAGTCCGGCTACCTTCCCACATCCCCCTCAAACACCCCCTAAAATGATGGGAAGGGTTTTTTTTTCCAGCGTTTTCCACCTAACTCTCCTCCCCGCGCAGCTACCCTGACGCCACGCCGGAAGAGCTGCAGGCCATGGACAACGTCTGCATCATCTGCCGCGAGGAGATGGTGACGGGCGCCAAGCGTTTGCCTTGCAACCACATTTTCCACACCAGGTGAGTGAGGAACGGGGGTGGCACACGCTCCCCGTCCCCTCAATTACGGTGTCTCCAGCGTTTTTGGTGTTGGCGGTGAGGTAACGGCCCTGCTTGGTGGTTGTGGAGGTGGTGGTGGGGTGTTTTGGGGAGGTCTTTGCCGCCACTGTGGCCTTGCCGTGCAATTAATGGTGTCTGTCTCCTCTCCAGCTGCCTGCGGTCATGGTTCCAGCGCCAGCAGACATGTCCCACCTGCCGCATGGATGTTCTACGGGCTTCCCTCCCGGCACAGCCGCCTCCCGAACCGCCGGAGCAAGCCCCGCCGCCGCCCCAGACCCCCCAAGTTCCTCAGCCCCCCAACTGTGAGTCTCTTTTATGCCCCGATATCACCCCTCCGCAGTGGAACGGGTGCCACCAACCGCCAGTTATCCATCGCTGTGCTGGTTGAGCTTTGCCAGGGTTGTTCACCGCGGCGCTGGAGGAGCAAACAGCTGGAGAAGAGGGTTGGGAAGTCAGGTCACTGGGTGGCGGCGCGAGCCAGTGGTATTTCCACCTGTGACAGCATGGGTTTGGGGAAACTCTTGCCGGCACAGTTAAGCCTGGTTATCAAACCGGTGACCTGGCGTGTTCCAGCTGGCTGCGGTGAAGGAAATTTGGGCGTTTGGGGCTCTCACCGCCCTCTTCTCCCTCTGCAGTTCCCCAGGGAATCCTTCCCCCCTTCCCCCCGGGCATGTTTCCCTTCTGGCCACCGGTTGGTCCCTTCCCACCGGTTCCCGGCGTTCAACCGCCCAACAGTGCCGATAACACCGCACCGAGCTCCGGCACCGCTTCAGGTGAGTTTTCTCCCGAAATCTGAGGGGTTGGCACTGCCGAAATGGGGCTCCCTCCTCCCCTGCCACCCTCAACGTCCCTCTTGTCACCGCAGCCGCCCGGCCCGGTGACTCCGCCAACGCCGGATCAGAAGCTGCGGCGGCAGGGACGGTGCCGGGTCTTCCTTTGCCACCGCCGTGGATGGGAATGCCGTGGCCGCCGCTCTTCGGTAAGACAGGGATGAGGAAGGATTTGGGGGTTCAACCCCTGGGGTTCTTCCCCTCACCCCTCTTCTCACTGCAGGCTTCCCGCCGATGCCGGTGCCACCGGCCGGCTTTGCCGGCTTGACGGAGGAAGAACTTCGAGCCATGGAGGGCCACGATCGGCAAAACCTGGAAGCGCGGTTACAGTGTCTACAGAACATCCACACCCTCCTCGACGCTGCCATGGTGCAGATCAACCAATACCTGACGGTCCTGGCCACCATCGGGTAACTTTGCTGAAAAAAAAAGGGGGGTTTGGGGTTGTCTAGAGCAGGCAGGCAAGATTTGGTTACGGCAAAGCCATGCCCTGCCTAAAAAAATCCCTGAAATTGCCCCAAATCTTGATTTATTGTTTCATTTTCTCCCCTCCAGGTCACCCCGGCCCGTCGCTTCCCGGCCCCCCTCCACCCGCGAGACCCCCGCCGAGGAGCCCACCCTGCTCCACTCGCCCGGCAGCCCTTCGGCATCCGCAACCGCCGCCGGCAGTGCCAGCACCACGGCTGCCGCTGGTGCGTGAGGAACCCACGGGGTGGGGGAAACACCCCGGGAGAGACCGTCAGCGCCGTCGTGGGGGGGAACGGGGATCCTGGGGGGTCCGACTGACCCCCCAAACCACCCCCATACCCTTTTATAACTGTCTAATTATAATTTCTGTGTTGCCGGCTAGTTACCACGGTTGTTAATTCCTCCGTTAATTAGCCACGTGTAGCCCCAGTGTCTTCTCTTCAAAAAGCCAAATGCCCCATTAAAACACTGCGGGGAGCCCATCTCCCAGCAAAACACTGATCCTGGGCCTAGCTCGCGGTTAAAACTGGGTTTACTGGTTTTACTGGATGCTGAACTGGTGCCTTCCCCCTTTACCAGATCCCACCGCGCCAGCGGGCGCCGAAGGCTTCACCGCCGAGGAGGAGGAGGAGGAAGAGGATGGCGGCGAAGGCTCGTCCTCGCTGGATGAACCCGACACAGCAGAACTCCGCCGCCGCCGGCTACAGAAACTGGCGTCGCCACCGGCAGCCTCGCACTGACGCCCGCCAGTTGTGCCGCGGATGCGCCGCGGGCGCCGTTTCGGGGTTGCCGACCCTCGTCCTCGGCGTCTCCGGAGCCTTGGACGCCACGAGCCGAACGGCGCCTCTTTTTCTGCCTTGTTTTTCCCCCCCGTTTTTCACCAAAACCCCGGTCTGGAAGCAAAACAGATTCCCGGCTGCGCCCGTTGGCGCCCCTAAAACATTGCTGGCTCTTTTTCCACGGCACCGCGGCAAACGGCCACGTGTCTTGACCTGTTTTTCCCTCTTTTTCCCTTTTTTCACCCCAATTCTCTCTACCTCTCCAGTGAGCCAGGATCCGGTGTGTGTTTTGGAACCGGCGGTTGCCTGTATTGGGGTAACCACGCCCGCTTCGGGGCGGTAATTGAGGACGGGGTTTGATTGCGGTGACAGTGATCAAGCGAGTGCAGGTGCCGCTTAAAATTGCTCAAAATGGCCCGTTTTTAACCCAAAGTCATCTCCAGGCACTCCCAGCTGCAGAGCAGGTCGTCACCGGTGGCATCAACGCAGCCGAAACCGCCTCGAGCTGTGTCGGCTTTGAGTTGCCGCTGCGTTACCGGGGTCCCCGGGATTTTGGGGTGACCCCTCCCCGGCTTTCATCTCCCACCCCCTTCGTTAGCAGATAACCTCGTTAACAGTATTAACCCATCACCCCTGGGGAAAGCTGCTTCCAGCACCGAAATATCCCCCCCTTCAAGCCCATCGGGGGAACCATGTGCCGATCGGCGCCTCTCCGGCACCACACGGCAACTTAATAAACCCCGGAATGCTCCGCCTGAACCTGACCGGTCCCTAACTGGTGCCACAGTGCGCCCAAACTGGTTTTTACCGGTTTCGCTCTGCCGACAGTGCCGGGAGGTGCTTCTTTTTTTGGTCTCTTGGTCACTGGCCACCTCCCAACCGTGAAATTTTTGCCTCGTTTCCTTTCACCGGCGGTCGGCGATGGCTCTGGCGTTGCACTGGCGAGGCACCACCGTGCCGGTGAGGCGCCACTGGCGCCTTTGCCGAAAAAAAAATATCCGGCACCGCTGCCTCTTCGCCACATTTCTTCTCCGCTCCAGGGACGCCGTGACTCTTCAGTGCCTCTTTGAACCGAAAAGGGCTTCGAGGAGCCCAAATATCTCAGGGAAAAAAAATAAAACCGCGTTCGGAGACGGCGGCAAACGGAGCGTTTTGGGGTGGAAAACGGCATTTTTTTTTGCACCAGAACTGGTGGCGGTGAGAGGATGGCGTGCGGTGAGGAGGTGGCGGTGGGTGATTTTTTGGGGGGTGGGGAGGAGCAGGATTGGTTATTTTCAGTAACGAGGCTGATTTTTTTTTTTTTTCCTCCCTACCCTTAAAGTTTTGGTTCTTGTTGCCCCAGGCTTGAGCGTATTAATGAGGAAATTGGCAATAACGAAGCAGTGGTGGGAGATCACTGCGGAGCTGCTTTGGGGAGTTCATTTTTTTAACCCTTTTTTTTTTTTAAACATTTGGAGCCAAAATAATGAATTTTTGTGGCCGGTTCTGTTTGGCGTTGGGGTTTGTTTGGGTTTTTTTGTGGATTCCTCAAAATTTCCTTCATTTTGGGGTGGAAACCACGGGAAGGGGGAGGGACCGAAGACACGCAGGCGACTGGACTGGGGCCGTTTGACCCCAAAACCACCCCCTTTCCCCCCAAAATAGTTTCCTTTCCCTTTCGGGTGGCGTCGGCGTTGGAGGAATTATTTAATTTGTAAATAATGTATAAATTTTTAATAGCTTAATTGTAAATACAGCGGAATAAAGGTTGCAGTAAAGCTTGGCGCTCTTCCCTTGGTCGAGATGGTGGTTGGCCGCTCTAGGCCCGCTACGTTGTCTCTGTGGTCGCTCACCGAGCCATGGTTCCTTCCCCTGCGGTTGTTCAAGGGGCATTTGACCGCTCTGGTCTGTCTTCCCCGCCGTCTCTCTATGGCATTGGAAGAGAAACCGGAAGTCGCTCTAGCCCCTTCCCTCGTCTCTATGGCCGCCTCCCTTGTGTGCCCCTCGTCTCTGTAGCTCCTCCCGCCCAGCAGGCGGCGCTGCGGCCTCCTCGCTCCGCCCCCGTCGCCGCTCCGGCCCGCCCCCCGCCTCACTGGCCGCTTCATCCGGGTCCCGGCGCCGCGCATGCGCGCTGACGTAGCGGCGCGGCGAAATGGCGGCGGAGGGGCCGGAGGCTCCGGCCAGCCCGGGCCGCGGTGGGGCCGAGGGAGCGCTGGGGGACGGCGGGGACGGCGGCAGCGGGACCCCCGGTGAGCAGGAGGG